ATGTGAGAGCGAAAAAATTTATAAGTAAATTTAAAATGTTTTATTAAGATTATTCAGTATTAATGATAATAAAGGCATATCAGTTGACAATCTCATTGAATAGATATCGGCACTAAAGTGTTGCTTAATTGGCAATAACAATCAACTATTCTGTGGTTGCATTAAACTATGCAAATGTTTTTCCCCTGTTTTATAAGTTCATTATTTTTGCTTTTACAGAGCTATTCAAAATATTTTTGAATGAATTTTTTGTTAGATTATCTGCTTGCTGCACAATCCAGTTTTCAATTATTAATTTTTTCTATTATTCTTATTTAGATAGCTATTTGTAGATAGGTTGTTTTAGTCATCAGTAATATTGGTTAGTGAAAAATAGATTTTATGAAATAAGAAACTAAAAGACTGAAAAACTTGATCAAGGAATTCGAGGCTGGTACTTAAATGTCTAGCACTGTAATTTTTTATTGCCTTAAAAAAATTGCAAAACAAAATATATATATTCTTTTTTTTTGCCTTAATTAATGTTGGTAATTGGAAATAGTTATCTTTAACTGCTGCTTAGGGGCAATTATACAGATTTAAAGTAGCTGCAAAAAGCTGATCAACAGCCTCATTTACACTACATTTGGAAAGCATAAAGAAGACTGGTCTGGATCAAGCAAAACATCATTCTATTATTAAGCAAAGCCAAAAAATGTTGGAATAAACTACTAAAAGATAAAAAAAAACATGGCGAAAAGATAACGAACAAAGACTTGAAATAAGTTGTGAAACGAATTTTTAAGAATACTCATTGTTTTTTTTGTCAATATTCACCAATATTTCAACAACAGAAATTATTTAAAGACTGAAAGAGTTAACTTCATACGTTAATTACTGTGATATTCTCAGTACTTCCTTGTCGATACCGTCGCGTATGTTGATCAACTTGATTATTTTCATTATTGTTATTATTTCTTTTTTTCGAGGTATATAAACCACTTTTTTTATTATATTGAAAAATTTATTCTTTTAGTGATAATTTTATTTTCGTGAAAAAAAAAGAAGAAAAAGACAATAATTGGCGTATATTTTAGTAGAAAAAAAAAGTGGCTGCTTTATCGGTAGAAAAGAAATTTGTTAAAAAGAACGATTTATTTCTTTTGTTTTGAATATTCTAAGAGTTTTTTCAAGCAGGTATTCTTTTCTGTTTTTCTTTATACTTTTTATTTATTTCTATTTTTGAAATTGTATATTACTTATTGAAGTGTTTATAATATAATTATTCTTTTGTTGAAGACAATTAAATGCTGATTACTTGATTTGTTTTGTTGCTTTCAAAAGCACCACTTTTACAAGTTTGCATCACTGTTTCAGATACACAGACAGCTATATAAAATTGTATTTTGCATTAATTCCGTATTTTTTTTGCATTTATAATTGTATGCCGGTGTTAATCATTATTTTGCTTAATTTTTGGCTTCCGTATAACTAACTGTCTGATGGCAAATTTTGTGCGCTTTTATGGTCTTTAGTTTTATATCAGCTTAACGTAAGATTCGCCTAGTTTTCTGAGCTTTTCCGCTGCACAATGTTCAGCAGTGCTAAACTGCAACTGATACTCGAACAAAGCATTACTTATTTTGTGCTACAGTTTTGGCATTATTGTTACGGAGGTTAAACGATTAAATTATTAAAAATAAAGATATGCAATGTGGCAAAAAATAATACTGTTTTCTCTTTATTTTATTTTTTTTTTTTTTTGCATTTTATGCTAAAAAATAAATTTGCATAAAGCAGAAGAATCTTTAATACGCTATTCTATAGGTAGGTTTATTTTTTGCTGAAACTTTTGAAGAATTTTTCTTTTCTTTTTTTTTTGGAAATTTTTTTTTATTCTCAAAATGCTCTTATTTATCGACTTATTGTTTAATAAGATTTTGCTTCTTGTTTTTTTTTTCTTCTTTCTCTTCTAAAATCTAAAATTAGTAAAAATGGCATCGTTTAAAGAGTTTAAACACTAGACCTAAAAATGTACTTTTCCGTCTCCCACTTTTGCAATTTATGACATTATTAATATGTTTTTTCTGCTAAAAATTTTATTTTTTTTTACAAAAATATTATCATCTATTTTTTTTTTTGGTTTCACCATTTAATGATCAGTTTTGTGTTGCACTGTTTTTTTACCGTACAAGATGAGCAAAAAGCGCAAAAAATATAGCTCATATTGTAGCTACATTTTTTCATCTCCAGTTAAACCACAATTCCTACCTGTAAAAGTCGAAATTTTAAGAGAATAAACTTTTTTACTGCAGTTTATTTTCTTAATGTTTATCATCAGTTTGATATCTGGTAAAACAGATTTGATTTGCGTAAAAAAAATAGTAAGTGGTCTTTAAAGCATATGTAACAAAAGTTCCTGAAATTTGAAAAATTTGAAGTACTCAAAGAAAAACTTTTTTAACTTTAGAGCAACATAACTTTTTCAGCAAAATAGGAGCAAAAAATCATCATTTTAGGCTATAAGTTACAGATAAAAGCTTTCTAAAATTAGGAAGAGAACAACTATTGACTGTGTAGAAAAAAAGGTAAAAAAAACCAATGCCTCTTTTAAGCAGAATCATTCTTCGCAGTTTTAACATTTACTCAGTTTGTAAGCTTTCGCAGAAGCATTCAAACATTTCTGAGGCAGCAGTCAGTCTATAAAACTTTACATTTTTTAGCATGAGCATTTCACTTTTTACAGCGATGACCGAGAAGACATTTAATATATTCAGCAGCATAAAAGGTTTTGCATGCTAATGATTCCGGCAGGCTAAAAAAATGCTTTCCAGAATTTTGTATGATTTTTTTTTGTTGCTTGTTCTTTCATCTTTATCAATTCGTTCTTGCTGCAAGTACATCTTTGTTCCAAATCTTGTACCCTGATTTAATTTATGGTTTATTTACTGTGGTAGATAAAGATCATATTTTTAGAAAAACTGTTCTCTCCTATCACTTACCAAGACTTTATAAACATCGATAGGTATTCATATCTTTGATTAAGAACAATAAACAAAGACTGTAAGCAGTTATAAAATTTGATCTAAGTTGAAAACAACATGAAAATTGCATTACTGTAAAGCAAAACATTTCTTTCTGCTTATCTTTTGCAGCTTCAAAAAATTTGATTTTTTGTTTGTTTCACAAGTAATGCATCAGCAATTAATTCTGTTTTTTTTACACCTGTATGAATATTATATGAAATAATTTGTACATCTTGTCCGCTTATTGCAAATTACTGCAATTAAACAAACATCTTATACCAAGTTGTTTATAGAGTCTGGTAAACCTTACTTGTTTTTTTATATGTTTATAGTATGGCTTAAAAATGAAGTTTTTAAGTTATTCAAAAACTTTTTGACAGTATTTTTTTTTAATTTTCGTGTTAATAAGTTTTTCATATTTTTGTACCGATTATGTTAGTTGACCGATACAAATATTGACTTCTTTGTATAATCTTTCTACATTAGTATAAACCTAATAGCCAATTAGAACTGTCACTTTGTCAATGAAAGATAAATGCTAACATAAAGCTGTGGTAGAAGAAGATTTTCTAGCGCTTTTACTCTAATAAGTAGACTATTTTTGGTACAGTTGAGAAAATTAGTGTCTGATT